CCTTGCTTTGATTATGATGTAAAAAACAAACCTAAGTACTTTTCCCTCATTTATGTGGAAGTACAAGCATTATAAGCTGCTTAGGCACTGCGATAATGGCAGAGAAGGGGGAATAGATAGCTAGGAGAGGCTTAGAGGCCATGAATATTTCCTCTGCAAAAAGATGTTAATGTCAACAAGATGGCTGAATTCCAGTTCAGGCATATGCATTGCTAAGTTTTCTTTGTGTAAATTACCATCTCCACAAAATTCTGGTGCTTGAGACCATACCCTCCTCCCACCAGTCCTCCTGCTGTGATTCTCTCCCATCATCCCTGGGTTTGTCCTTTTCCCCTTCACCTCCTCCTTCTGACTAAGACTTCAGCTGTGATTTCTCCCTCCTTTTGCTCCTTGAAGCAAGTCTGTTCATTATTTATTAGCTGCCGTACTCTTACACCATCTGTCTCAACTCATTATCCATATTCAGCTTGTCAAAATGACCTTTTATGGCCTTTCTCTGGCACCCTAATGTGTAGTCTGGCCCTCCTTATATAGCTTTGTGCTGCTACACCATTACTTTCCAACTCCTACTGTTAGTGTTCCTCTGTCTCACGAACACCCAATTTACTATTCTATGTCCTTAAATTCAGAAAAGCTGTTTATTCTGCTTGACTGATGCTTGTTCCTTGTTTCATCTGCTCCATATTCACTGTGCCAGCTTGCTGCAGCACATACTGTCTTAGATGTGACCTTTAAAGCATCTGCACAAAAATATAAAATATTATAAAATATAATCTCCCCTCCACAATCTGGGGGACTTTCTGTCCCTCCATCCATGATGTAACATGGTGGATTACAAGCTCAGCCCTCAGTCACTCTGTTGTGAAAATCACCACCACATAAGGTGATGGATTTCAGTGCCTGATGCACACTCTGGATGGGTCAGTGGGAAAAAGTATAATGGCAGAACTCTTACCCCATGTATCCTATCTGTGCTACAGGGAAACAATCAGCAGGTGCCACCTGCACTGCTGAAAGCCAGCTCTGTGAACTGGGTGATTTCAAGTCAATGACTCAAATATCTTGCTTTTCTTTAACTCACAGCTACTCATACAAAACTTGTTACAGATATCTTGCTTAATAAGCTCCACAGAGAAGATTTGAAGCTGTGCTACAGACCTATCAAACAAATTCTCAATAAAGATGTCTTAGGAGAAAATGCTTTTTATTCTTAGTTTTCACTTAGTGCAGTGTTCTCCTGGGAGGCCCCAGCAAAAGACAGCTCTTTATCCAGAGCTCAAAGCAAGCTCTGCTGAAGGCATGTTACAGACAAATGGGGAAGCTTTGCATTCACATCTCTGGGGTTGTCCAGCCCTCGATAGCCTCCTGTATGTATTCGCAGGTACAGCTGATTGTTGTAGCAATAAACACAACTTTACACCTGAAAACCCTATATAGCCCTATATTGGCATGCTCACATGCATAAACACTGTGTAGTTCATGGCAAAGTTGCTCAGTTCTGCTCTCAACTATAATGTCACTCATTAGAAAACTCATATGCCTTGATTTCTTGAGATGAAGCAGAAAACAACTACAGATCAAAGGGGTTTCTGACCCTCAGCTGTGCTCTGGTCCTTTTGAGAATACTTAATGACCACAGTTTCGTTTGGGCATAAATTTTGAGGACAAACATTACTTCTTTTTTTGTGGGATGGGAGGACTAAGAGGCAATTTTCTTTCTTACAGGTGTATACAGCCCTCATTCATTCATCTGCAATTGTATATAAACTTATATTCCAAAGGCTGATCTATATTTCTGAAGAGATCAGATCTTCAGTGAATCAAATCATCCTGAATTTCTGACTAGCGTTCAGTAACCAGGGGTCAGATCCTCAAATGTCCCACTGGGAGCTCCTCAGGGACTCTTTTCTCATCAGCACTTTGGGATTAGGATATTCGATGGAAAGAGAAGTGGCTGCTGGAAACCTGCAAGTCATGCCAGTTTTGATACAGTCACCTCTGTTAGAGGTCAATGAATGTTTTTTCAGATTGATGTTCCCCATAACATCTGCATCCAAAAGAGTCACAATCATATCCTCCTAAACTTTTCTCCCTGTCTGATTATTATTTTGGCAGCAAAATACTGTTACAAAAAGTCAAGCAAGAATTAGTAAGGATTATGGCTGAGCTCTAACAGAGATGGGTTTATAATCCTTCGGTATGAAGGGAGAGCTGCTGTGATTACTGAACAAAAGGTGCTATTTCTTCCACCACTGGAGCATCAATAACACAATAAAGTGCCAGGGCTTCCATCCTCCCCTGGCCATCTTCCACCTACTCTGTGCATAGTTTGGATCATTAAGCCATATACTCAATCCCTGACTTTCAATTTCACTTGCTTTCTATCTCTCTGTAACCAAGTCCCCTCATTCCTTTTTTCTAACAGCACTCACATATGTATCTCTCCATTTCTTGCCACTTTTCCTTCTGCAGGATCCTTGCCAAGAACTCAGCCTTGCCATCTGTCCAGGAAAATGATGATACTGCTAAGCTCTGTTCTGGATGTTGAATCATATAGCCAGAGCAGCAGTGTTAAGGTTAGCCAAAAAATAAAAAATCCCAAACAGAATAACAACAAAACAAACAAACAAATCCCCAAACTGAATAATCAGTGGAAAAAAGTCTTTTTCTGCCTCACACCAGAGATCAGATACTTTTAGTCATATGCTTATTTTTCCTATATTGTGTTTCTCTACTTTCTCTTCTTAACGATACTCCTTAGGGAACGCTATATCCATAAGAATACCTTAGGGAAAAATATATCCATAAAAATAAACTGAAGAGTTTCTGATGCCATTCTTGTTGACAAGGCAGTGATGGAACTTTGGGTTTTTGTGTCCAGCACTGAGGTTAGTGAGGACATGTGCTGTGTGCCATCCTGTCTCGGATCAGTAGCTGTCAATATAAAAGGGCCCGAGGTTGTAATAGGCTCGTTGTGATGTGTACATTTGTCTCAAACTCTCATGCATCACTGTGAAGTGTAATTAAAGTAATCCAAGCCTGCAATCTTTATGAGAAGTCATGATTTCTCATCTAAATGCTAAATGGGGCTGCTAATATGAGTGAGTGCAGCTCAGCTTGAGTGAAAGGATATTAAAGAATTGGGTCTAAATCTGCCTGTGCAAATGGCAATGAAAGGAAGAAAGCAGTGTGGAGTATCCAAGTGAAGTATTGAAGAGCACTAAGTTACAGATTGCCTCTGGGTGCTGCTCCTTTTTCCGGGCAAGATATCTATCCTACAGACCAAAGAGGAACCCATCACTAACATTATCACTTTATGATAAGCCCAGTTTACACTTCTGTAGCAACCAGAAGACGAGCAATGAGGTCACTGAACTTCCTGCTCTGAGGGCACTTGGAAGCATAGCTTGCCAATAAATTATGCTTAAATACTTCCAAAGCAAGGACTAATGATCCCTAGCACATATTGTTCTTTCTTTCTTCCTTTTTCTTTTTCTTTTTTTTAGTTTTCTCTTTCAAACACCCTTTCCCCTACTTTTCAAAAAAAAGAAGTCTCCACGGAGCTACATTTTTACTATCATGGAGAGCATGCTGTTAGGTCATAACACAAATCTGTGTAATTGGGAAAGCTACTTCAATTCTGGGAGGTTCTGAGTCTCAAAAGTGCTCTTGGATTTTTTTAACTAGTGGTGGTGACACTCCAGCATTGAAACAAGAGCTCTCAACCCCACCCAGGTATTTCTGATGGTTGTCAACTCTATCCTGATATAGGATAGCTTTTTAGGTAACAACACCTACACACGTGGCACTAAGGAACATGGTATAGTGATGACACTCAGTAGGTCAGGTTCATGGCCGGACTTGATTTCCATCATAAACGATTCTGTAATTCTTTGATATGTGCAGACAAGTATATATAGCCATGTCATTTATTAGCGGATTTGCTCTTTAAGCTCAAAGTTTAAAGTCCGCATTTTGTGCTGGCTCCTCTGGCATGACTATGCTGTGATTCTCACATGCATCTCTGTCCAAACCTCCTTTCTACAGCTGTGTGCAGCAACAAATGCAGGAGAACACTGGGGAGCCAGCTGGCTCAAAACTTCTTGAAGAATAATGGAAATCAGGTGTCTAAAATGAGAATGTGTTTAGATGTGACTTGGCTTCCCTTGGTTTTCCCTGCAGAGAACAGTGATTCCATATTAGCTTTATCTTTTGCTCTCTATGAAAATTGTTCTCCGTTGATAGTTTGATATGAAAGAACAGAGCTCGGTATGACTTTAGGTGACTTTATTTTGGCAGACACAGCCCATTAGTTGTACATCTGCCACACAGATGGAGAGACACCAGAGAAAAAACAGAGAAGACATCAAATAAAATTAATTTTGGGATCTGGATGAGAGAGAAAAGCAAGGTCATACTTTGTGGCATTAAGATATTAGCCATCATAGGTACTCAGGATGAGCTTGCTCTGGGTAGAAACACATGTAGAAACAGAGATCTCTGTTTAAGCAAGAAAGCTTGGTACCCTTCTGTTCTCTTCAGAAACCAGCACAGTATGTGTGGGAAGCAGAACTTCTGGGAATGGCAGAATTTTGGACATTGCAATCTACTTTAGGTTTCTTTATATTCTACACTAGGTTTCTAATTAGTTTGGCAACTCTTAATGCATTTTTTTTCTTTCCTTCTTTTCTGAAGCTTTGGATTTTGCAGATGCAAAAGCATTCCCCAAACATTCTGTTGCCATTTTTCACAATGGAAAATGTGCACTCAAAATGTTGGCTGTTAAATTCAATGCATGTGTTCTTGTAAGCTTATCTTTCTCTCATTGCTATTGTTTCCTTTTTCAGGACATGACCTTCACCTCCATGATGAATCAGGAAAAACCTGTCAAGTCCTCCTAGCTCCCTGGCTGTGCCATTTGCTTGTTCCCTTGCTGTTCACCAGACAGCAGCCCCAGCTCTTCCTACCCAACGCAAGGAAGAAGCCAGCAAACCACACATGACAGCTGAAAAGTGAAGCATTATCAAAAGCTGTGTGAGACTGTCAGGGAGAAACTTTATATAGTAATTCTCCTTCTGAGCCTGGGAAGCCGTGCATCACATTAGTTACAAGGGAAAGAGAGAAGAAATGCTCAAGTAACTGAGACCTGAAATTGCACAAATCAGTACATATATTTGAATAACTACATACAGTGTTTAGAAATCTGCATTCACAATGGATGATGGATACAGAAACACAAACCTCTATCAAGGGGGCAGGGAGACAAACCAAGTGTCAGATGATTACAGGTACCAGGATGGTAACTACGAGGGGTACGCACCCAATGATGGCTACTACCGTGGTGGGGATGAGCCCACTCATGAAGAAGATGCCCAGAGTGATGTTACAGAAGGCCATGATGAAGATGATGAGGTCTATGAGGGGGAGTACCAAGGAATCCCACACCCAGATGACATTAAGGCCAAGCAGAAGAAGCGAGCTCCTGCCATGGATGATGAGTACAGAGACCGTGCTGACCTTATGGCAGAGAGGATGGAGGATGAGGAGCAGCTTGCCCACCAGTATGAAAACATCATTGAGGAGTGTGGCCACGGACGCTTCCAGTGGACCCTCTTCTTTGTTTTAGGGTTGGCACTGATGGCAGATGGGGTGGAGCTGTTTGTGGTTGGATTTGTTCTGCCCAGTGCTGAGAAGGACATGTGCTTATCCAGTTCAAACAAAGGCATGCTAGGTAAGTGCCACTTGAGCAGCTCTTCTAATCTAACTGACAGTACCTAGAATATATTTTTCTCACAACTTTCTGGGGGCCCTTTTTATAATGTTTTATTTCATGCATAATCGTGGCTGGGTGGGTCTGATTCAAAAGGAGATTGCTTACTGCTGTGAAGGCAGCTGCTGTAAAGCAGTAGCAGAACCATGCTACGTGTCAGCCCACCTTAAGGATGGGCTATAGCTCCAGGACTGGCTGCCACAAGCTGGATTTGGGCCAGGCAGCTCACAGCAAGTGGGACCACAAGGCAAAACTCCTAGGAACATTCAGGGTCAAATACACAAAAATTTATGTGTGATGGTTCCTGCTTAAGCATATAATGATGCAATTTTCAGTGCTTTTAGAAATTAAATGGTAATCAGAAGTCTGCAAGGCAGTACTTTCTGAGTGTGATGGATATAACAGACAGGGATGCACTTGGTCTGGATCAATTTGCTGTTACACTGTGTCTCCCAGTGCTTCCTTGCTTTCTGGTTTTTCACTGCATCCAGGTTCACCTTTCCTTTAGCCAAAACTCCCAGCTGGCAGATCAGAGCAGCTGCTCCTGCATGCTGACTTCTTGGCCAGAGCACACTGCTAATATGTACTGGGTCAGAAGTAGCCTGTGAAGATTTCTTCTAAGGTCTGTGGAATGAGATTAATGTGCTGAATGGAGATTAAAGGGTCAGACTACTGGCAACATCACTATTGACACCTTCCTGCGGTCAAAATTCAAAGGCATAGTTATTGTGAGTATGGGTGGAAAAGATTGGATGAGCATTTTAGCATTTTTTTCCCCTTGCACATAATAAGCCATAGGAGGAATGGAATAGAATAGAATAGAATAGAAGTCTCCCAGAGTCTCTAAGAACCAGGAAAGTGTCCAGCATGACCTGCAGTGAGAGCCAGCTGTGCATTAGCACAGCACATCTGGAAGGAAAATAACGTAGCTTTTGAAAGAACTTCTCTAGGAGGGGATGGTGTGTCTGGATGAATGTGCACCAAGGTCGCAGGGAAAACATTGGGCCTGCTAAGCATACATTTGGCCCAGAAGCTCTGCCCAATATAAGGGAAATGTGGATTTTGGATTAGACCTTGACTCCATTCTATTTGCATTATTTTCATGTAACAAAGGCAATAGACAATTAGCCTTACATAGACTTCTCAGCTTGGTGTACCAAGGTCCTAGAGACTTTTTTCTTCATTTGTTTGTTTTTTTTTTTTCCTGTATCTTCTTTTTTCTTCTCTGAACTCGAGGATCAGGATGCTTCTTTTCATAGTGAGCCAGCTTTGTACCTGGTTTTGTGCCTGCAAGGGTTTGGCAACATTTTTTTGTTTCACAAACCACACTTCTAGCTCAAAATAGCTCAGGTCAGATACATAAAAGTGAATTGCTTACAATTGAATCCAGGGACTTCTGAATTCACCAGCTCCCTATGGAACACCAGGATCCCTATGGGTGCCTTTTTTGACACGACCTTTTTTGAAAAGCAGGTCATTTATTCTGGTGACTATATGAAAGCTGAGATCTTTTGAAACTCCAACCCCATAAATATCCATCTCTGTAGTTGATATCAGAAACAGAAAACTTCAAATGTCACAAGAAAAATCTATCTTTGAAGTATTTCTGGCCCAATCACAGTTAAGAAAGAACAAGAGATCTCCCAAGAGAACTCTTTTTTTGCGTGCTTTTTCTAGCTCTGCATTTGCACAGCTGAAAGTTCAGGGTGTTCTGATGAGCTCTGGATAAGCAAGGAGGTATCTAGGTCCATATCCAGCTTGAGCTCCAGCTCACTGCACACTGACTCAGCTGGCCTGGAATTCCTAATGATGGAACAACACTCTTCTTGTGCTTTTTTGTGCTTTTGAGAACCTGGTTTTGCAGAACTATTTCTTTTGTTCTTATCGTGTTTATTCTGAAGGTTCTACCATCAAAGCCTGTATGAACACTGTATTTTTTACTTAGATATGAACAAAAGGAAAGAATTTGCCTAAGAACAAAATCAACTGATTCATCTTGGTTTGAGAAAGATTAAAAAGACCAGAAAGCAGATATTTACGATAACACTTGCTTGTTACTGATTGGTGTTGCACAGAAGGCAAGTCTCTGATTCAGTGGTTTTGGTTAAACACGTTGCTTCTACCACTGGGATCTCCCTCTGCTGCAGGTTTTCTCTTAGATCTGAGGTTTACCAAATGATCCCTTGTTAAAGGGATTAAATGGAGCTTAGAAAGCAATAGACTGCAGAGTGATTCTCTGACACGAGTAATGAATACTCAAGGGCAGGGAGAAGTGAGGATGTAAGGAGAGCAGAGTGGGTACACGGCTGCAGGTGGGCAGGATGGGAAGTGCTATTGATGGAAATGAGAACAATCCTCCTCAAAGCCTTTCCTGGATTAGCTTCAGCACCCATCCACCACTGACAAGAAAAAGATATCTGCCCACAAAGCTCAGAGCCTCCAACATATGCTCATTTCCCTCGTGGTTTCTATTCCCATGTCTGTCTATGTGTCGTGCTATCACAAATCAATCTTGCTAATGCCCAAGCTTCAATGATCCTTATAGGCTGACTTGTCACAGTAATGGTGGCCATCAAAGAACTCTTGTCCTCAATTTCTCCCTAATGTATACTGATGATCTTGCAAGAGTGCACCTGCACAGAATGGAGAGAGGATTGACTGGAGAGGGTGCGAGTCTTCCTTTCATTGCCATTTGGTTTTAGGGACATAGTGGCATTATCCACAGAGATGCTACCGCCCCTTACTTTATCACCATCAGCCATAGATGTCTACAGTGATCTTCTGATTACTCCCAGGTGACTGCTCATCTCAACACATTTTTGCTAAGGAAAAGTAATCAGACTATCCCAGGTAGACTGAGGATTGCTTCCAGGCAGCTGTGCACAGATATACACCCACAAGGCCTTAACTGAGGCCAGGAAGAAAAATATGGGAAATTAATCAAGTAGCTAATTGAACTTACAGAAATAGGAGGGAACAAACGAGAGCTGGAGTAGCTACCCCCTGAAGACTAATTGAGCAAAGGTCAGCTCTTGCTGAAAGGACATTTTGTGTTAAATACTCTGTGTATTGTATATTTTTCCTCCCTCAGAAAGCAAGAGTGGAAAAATATCCAGCAAATTATGGCCAAATTATGCAAAAATTACAAATAAACAGATGCCCACAGTGTTTCATGGAAAGTGTGAAACAAATATGACACATCTTAGAAAACGTTTACATTTTGTTCTGAAAATAAACATATCTACATCATATGCAAATTAACAGCTATTTTAGCCCTAACTATCCCTCGTGGGACAAAACGTATTTTAAGTTTTTCTGTGATGTGAATTGTTATTTTGAAGATTATAGGAGTATTTAAAAAAGGAAAAAAGGAAAAAATAAGAAGAAAAACATCAACAGCTCTGTATGCTTTAGATGTTTGATTTTTATCATTTTTAAAACTAGCCATTGAGTATAAGCTTGCTAACCTTTCACAACATTATTTTCATATATTCCTCTTGCAGATTTACTTTTGCTGAGCTTTCTCCAGAAACAGTCATAATAACAATGCATTTATGAAATTTATTACAACAAAGTATTCCTTTTCAGTATAATATATCCTGTTGGAAACAGAGTGTTCTTGTATTTTCTACAGACAACCATACAAAGAGTTATACATTTCTATTTGCTGATGTACCAAAGGACACATAACATCATTCTTTGGAGAAATATCACATAAATATACAACGTCAAGTGTATTGAAGGGGTGTTAATCACCCCTTAGAGGACAGAATCTTGTATTTGCAAGCACAGAGCAGTAAGTACACAGCCAGTAGAAAAGATGGTGTCATAGTAACGTTTTCAACTTTTTCACATCCTGCATATGAAAAACTGAAGGCACAGTTGTATCATCAGATTTCCCAGGCTCTGGAGCTGCAGTTATCATTTCACAGTTCAGTAAACTGAGACAAGAAAAATGTGAGCCCTTTGCCCATGACTGCAAAACATCCACGTAAATGCTGAGAGTAAAGTCTATCTTTCAGGCTCACATTTCCTCTTTCTTATGATGGTATTATAATAATAATATTTTAAGGAGACCATCATCATCCAGACTCTTAGCCTTGCAGAGTTAGATTGAAAAACAGAAAAAGTGATCCTGTTTGTAATCATGCAGTTATGTAGATATTAAAGCTTGTCTGTGTGAGTCACGTTAAACCAAATGTGTAACACTTTCTCTCCTTTTAGTTGTCCAAAGAGGATGCTTTATTATCAGTGCAGATAAAACTGGCCTCATCTTCTTGTTGACCTGAATTCACCTGATATGACATTAAATCCATTTGGCAGAGATCAGTGGTTTTTCTTTTTCTGGATAAATACAGACTAGGAGCCCAGCCATGGCTCCTGTGCTGTTTCCCACCTTGTTTTGCTGGGTGGAGGGACCAGATGGCCCTATGAATATCAGTGTGATGGACAGTCCCAATGGAGGGGCTGAGTTGCTTGGTATGCATTGCCTTTCCAGTTCCATGACAAACGTATTCACACATACAACTTTGGCTTGCTGAATCCCCCCAGTGCCTGCAGCCAGATCCATTCTGTATCTACCCCCACAGCTCAACAAATGGAAAGCCTTTAACATGCATGATCCAGTTCTCAGAGGTAGAAGAGCCATTAGTGCGGATAGAATCTCTCTGTTGGTGTTGAATCAACAAAACAAGTGCAATGGGACTACACTTTCATGTGATTCCCATTTAGGAGATCAGTGAGATTCAAGGGTAAAGCAGTAATAATCTTACAAGGAAGAGCAGACAAGAAATTTCAGAAGAAGGGGAAAAAAGTCATACATCCCAGAGCCAGTCCTTTGGGAAATGCTGGCTGTTGTTGGAGCATAAGCTAAGCAGGATTTCTTCTTCAAATCACTCAAGCACTATTGAGTCCTGTGCCTTGCCTCATCCATCTTCTAAATAGCTCAAAACTGAATCACAAAATTTCTGTGTCCATAAAGTACATCCTTGTATAACAGATGCTCTGCTGTTAAGTGTTTGGGTTTTGTTTTTATCACAGTTTGAATTGCAAGATGTAGAAGATCCTAATCCTTTAGGGTTGTCAAAATGCTTTCAAAAACCTTCTTGTTACTGTACTGGTAATGGCCTCTGCTTGGAAAGTGGGCAGGAACTCTCATGTTCATATGGCCAGTGGCTCTGTGCAGAGCTGTGAGAAGAGGTGAGATGCTGCTCTGCTGCACTGGGATCCATCAGCTTCCTCACTTCCATGGCAGCCTGAAGAGATTCAGGACTAACTCATCATGTTTTCTGCTTGAATTTTCCATTCATCCCTTGAGCCCTTGTCATATCTTGATAGTGATACTTTTCAGATGTGACTTATTTTTAAGAACTTTAATTCCATTAAGGGTCAACAAAAGTAATTCATGCTTGTGATGGACACTTTGGTAAATCTTGAATTTCTCCTTTCCTTTCCAAAGCCCTTATAAGTTTGCTTCTAATTATGCTGAAATAGTAAAAATACAGCTTAGCACACACATAGCCATTTCCCACATCCGCCTTCTTCAGTTCTAGAACTCAGCCTTTATGTCCAAAATTCCTGTCTTAGTTTGGAGCACATAGCTTCAATAGAGGCTAATAATTTTCTTAATGTGAAAATTCTGTACATGCTACCTCTTTTCCAGTGGGAATAAGCCCAGTTAGTGGGCACATATTTTCCTTATAACTTCAGCATTGCATGACTCATAACCCAAAATTTCATCTTAGAATTTCAGCTCTTTGGTTTTCCATAGATTTTATGGGAGGCTGTTGCAGACTTTCCCATAGGCATTCATTATTCTCCATTACTTGCAGAACAGCCTGCAAATAATGGCTTATTCAGAGTTACCCTTACCCTGGAGCTGGATCTCTCCAAGAGGTAGCAAGCATCATCACATTCTCCTAATGGTACTCAAAAAACACTGCACACTCCACACCTCCCTGGGTCCCAGCCACCGTACTGAACCATTTAGTATCCTACTGGTTGCAGTGCTGTGTGAATCAATAATTAGTGATCCTGCTGGTGTGCAGTGCTCAGATCGGCACTGAGTGAAAAATCAATTTTATCAACATGGTTTTTTACCTCAAAATTAATGAAGTCCGTTGTGCATTCCATTGTGCAGAATGGCCAGATTTTCTATTCTGATGGTTCTACAACTGTAGTCACATACTGGCCTCTTGAAACAGCTGAGAAGTGCAGGATAAAGGCAGCAGGGTGCGAAACCTACCTCTGGACTGCAAGGAGCATCCTATTCTTCCCTCTCAGCTGAAACAGTTCCTGGCCAGAACCACCTGCCTTGCACCAGCCAGGGTATTTGGTTGTAATAAATCACAGTAACAACCTTCTCCACCTCCTTCTAATCTGGGACATTTTCTGTTAAGAGGCTTTAGATGAACATCTGCCATGCAAGGATTTTCTCCATATATATGTGTGTGTGTATATACATATACACACACACATAGATGTATATACACACACATAGATATACATGACAATTTTTTATTCTTCGTCATTTTCTGGCCATGTGGACTGAGCTGTATATCTGATCCTGTTGTCTTTTCCTATCGTAACTCATGCAGGCTTCAAACAGGCATTTTGCTAGCAAAATAACCATAGCCTGTGGTTCTTCCTGGGCATATTCTTGCTCAGTGGAGTCTTTAAATCTTGAAAGTAGATAAAATAAGTGAAAAAAGATGGACCTGTGAGCATTAATAACTGGCGTTAATTGCACTGCTACTCACATAAAGTAAGGCAATGTAACAGGTGGTCCTTCTGGTGAAAATCTCAGTAGAAAAGCTGAAGACAAGTGCTTATTTTTCTAGGCCAGAGTTGTTATCATATAGTGAACTGGTTACAGGGAGCCTATTCTCTCTTATTCAGTCTCCACTAAACATGCTCACTGAAATTGTCTGCCTTTTGAGGATCCCATGGTAGAAGATCTAATGAAGTCAAGATAAAAAGAACTCATTTTTTAAACAACATTAGAGAAGTTACTCTAATGCAAACCATCAAGGCAAAATGTAGGTTCTTCCATCTCCTGATATGCTCAGACCAAGACTCTGCTCTTTTCTGCAAGTTGTCCTTTAGTTAGACATAAGATGTTGGCTCAGTAACAGAGGAAGCATCTGCACTGCACAGGTCAGATTGGCAATAGATTGATCCTTTCAAATGCTGCTAGGAAAAGCAGATAGAGGAAGAGGTGATGTGCTCCAGAGAAAGCATGGGCAGGATAGGTAACACACAAAGAGATTTATCCATGCTGCAGCAGCTTCTCTCCTCTCACAGCTTCTCAGTGTCACTGCACTCAGGGGGGTGAGTGGAGTTAAGGCATCAGACTTCTGTTGTACCGTTGGTGGCACACAGCTGGGACACGTGCATGCTAAGCTGCTTATGCCTGGCCATTGCTTACGTGCAGAAGATATGTGAGCAGAGAGGTCAGGAAAGAAAGATGTGGGTCTGATCAAATGTGGGTATGTCTATATTGCACGATGTGATGCTGCAGGGAGAGGTGAAAACTCATGAGTAGAAAATGGAAGAATTAGATTCCACAAATGGATAGCTTCTGGTATCTGAGATGGCTCATTTGGGAAGAATGGGAGTATGTAGCTTTCTTTGAATGCATACACTGCTTTCGAAAAGCTTTGTCTTCATAGTTGTTTTTTGTTTGTTTTTTTTTTTGAAAGTAAGAAGTCATAAGTGCATACAGAGCCCAGGTGAGACATTTCGTTCTGCATTAAGAATGCTGGTTCCTGACAGAACTGGCCTGTCATTGAAATAACTGTGTTATTTGTGAGGCCTTCAGTGGCATTTCCATCTTTATTTCTCTTTCAAGTGGTAGCTGGCAGTAATGTCAGGGAACATCAGCTGATGTTGTCCGTGTACAGGACAGCAAACCATTTCCGCCTGGCAACCAGGAGGATGGCATTACCAAACTCAGTGTTTCTCTTCCTCTCTTCTAGGCCTGATAGTCTACTTGGGAATGATGGTGGGGGCTGTCATGCTGGGTGGCCTCGCTGATAAACTGGGAAGAAAGAAATGCCTCATCATATCACTTGCAATCAATGCTGCCTTCGCCTTCCTGTCCTCTTTTGTCCAGGGATACGGATTCTTCCTTTTCTGCCGCCTTATCTCAGGCCTCGGGTGTGTAACTGGTGAATTATCCTTATCAAAAAAACTTTTATTTTATATCCAGTCTTAATTTCTCCCCTTTTAGCTTGAATTCATTTCCCCTTGCCCTGACACAGCAAACCCACATCTGTGGGTGTGACCTTCTGTTTTAACCTGAACAATCCTATCCACATGACATTGAAGAAAAATCTTATTTTTCCCTTATGCTGTTTTTTCTTCTCAGTATTGGGGGATCCCTCCCCATCGTGTTTGCCTATTTCTCTGAATTCCTGTCTCGTGAGAAGAGGGGTGAGCACCTGAGCTGGCTGTGCATGTTCTGGATGATCGGTGGCATTTTTGCTTCAGCAATGGCTTGGAGCATCATCCCACATTACGGTAATGGTTTTGTGCTTTTGGCTTTTGACAGCACCACTTTCCTGCACCACCACACTACTCCAAAAACCCGCACAAGTTAACATTAGTCAGACCTTACACATCCAAGCATGAACACTATTGAAAACAGTAGATATCTGAAGTGCGCACAGAAGGTCTAATAAAGGGGCTGATTGATTAATTGACTGATGCTAAGTAGTAGTACATTGCAAAAGAAGTGATCCAGTTATCAAAAGTAAGGAAATTTAATGGGGGAACTACTGGGTGCTATGAATGCTAGCAGTGAGCACAGCACACGTTCCTTTCCTTAGATAAGTGCCACCACTCTTGGGGCTGTGTATCTGGTGGCATCTCCCCAGCATGCCATGGCTTGATGTCAGACATGGCCCCACCTACCTGAGTTCAGGAGTGAATTGGTCCCCTGTGCAGAGCTGTACTCGGGTGGACTCTGAAATGTGCTCCAAAGAGCAAAAATCTGCATGTCCTCCTCCTAGCTCCTATGCTCCTAGCTCCTCCTATGCGTACATTTGGAAAACACCCGAAGCAAATATCTCCTGGAAAAGATTAATTCGCTCAGTATTCAGCAACAGCAGCTGTCTGAAAAATCCTGTTTGAGGAAAAGTGGGACAGGCCACAAAGACCAGGAAGGAAAAAAACATTTATCTATCAATTCATTTTACTGTGTTTAAAATGCAGTCAGTATAAAGCTCTTGGTTCTGATCAATATGACAGAGACTGTTGGAACAAATATACAAAGTACTGCATAGCAATGATTTTTTATTGTTATTACCTATAAATACACTTATTAAAAAAAAAATATGTATTTACATTACATTTATTTTCTGGATACAATTTTGCTGTTGTCCCTTCAGATTTGAGCCTAGGGAAAGGAAAAAAAGGCTTTTATTCAAATTTTATTTTTTCACTTTAATCATCTTTTGCTTTAAGAATCTACACTGGTGTATGTTGTTACAGGGACAACATAGAATGATGCTGTGCTTTCTGCTCCCTGTCAGAGGACTTGCTCAAATATCAGGAAAAAGCAGGAGAGGGGGAATCCCAAAAGCTGGATGACAGCCTTGATTCTTCTGAGTTTGAGTCTCAGCTCTGATTTTGCAATTTTGGAAAAACAATCTTGTCTTCCTAGCTTGCTGTTGTTAATAGTGAAATATGTGTGTGAGGTATGAGATGGAAAGGAGCTGCTTCTAATGTGCCTTTCAGATCAGAGGAAATTTAACCTCTGTAAACTCTTGGTGACATTTCTGAGAAGCAATAAATTCTGGCCCTGATTCCTCTGCCCCTTCCCACTCTGACTTGCCTACAGCTGCATGGAGCTATTCTTATTGCTAGGTGATTTCTACACTCAGAGATAAAAGGAGCTTTTTAAAAGGCAGAGCCTGAGCAAGGATGTTCCATTTTCTGTAATGAACATGAACTCACTTGCTATTATCTGCTGAACATGGTACTGAGCCTCTAAAAGCCATCATTACTAAGAATAGCAAACTTTCAACCTGTCGCCGTGTCACGCATAGCTGTAAAGTTCAGAGCTGCTTTACGAGAGAAAAATCAATCTGCCTGCTTGGAATTTTCACTTGTTGGCTCTTGCTGTTTTCAGGCTGGGGGTTCAGTATGGGAACCAAGTACCACTTCCACAGCTGGAGAGTCTTTGTTCTGGTCTGCTCCCTGCCCTGTATCGCCTCCTTGGTAGCACTGAAGTTCATGCCTGAAAGCCCGCGGTTCTTGCTGGAGGTAAGATGATGATTTATGAGCATTGCAGCCTGCCATTAGCAGAGGATGGCTAGTCCCTAGTGTGTCACCATCTCTCTGTCCCATCAAACACTCAGTACAAGCTCGGAGGCAAAGGCGCTCCTACATACATAAAGTATCTGCACTGATTGCTGCAACCCCAGAGGCTGCAGACTCTGACATTAGTCAGGGGTGGTGAGTGATTACCTCCGAATTGGCACCAGAAGAAGGCACAGAGTTCCAGAAATTTTGTATCCAACAAAGGCATTTTGGAAACACCTCTGAGTATGGGCATGTAACAGGTGAATCCTGATAGAAGTACAGAGGACCATCTCTGCAAGTCTTCAGCAGAGATGGGAACAGAGTCCAGGTCTTCTCACACATTTACTCTTCCCTGATCTGTTCCTCTCCTGCCCTAGCCAGTTTTTGGGCAACTCCTTCCCTCAGCACAGATGTGCTGCACTGTGCACACAAACCATCCCTGCAGCTCTTTGCTCTTCATAAAGCCATGCTTGATGGGTCTTCTTCAGTGTATTTGACCTGTAGAACTGATTCCTCTCTACAGTTATTTTCCTTTCCCTTGGTGCTTCCAGATGGGTAAGCATGATGAAGCCTGGATGATCCTCAAGCAAGTTCATGACACCAACATGCGGGCCAAGGGTGAGCCAGAGAGAGTGTTTACGGTGAGTTTTACAAAACCACTGACATACATATAAAAGAAAAAACAGGCATAACTCCCCAGTGAAGCACAGCACCTGTTAATTCCTTCTTGGGAATCTCCCTTTCACTGTGATCACCCCCACCGATCAGCACTCTGAGATGCACTTAATGCATTTCAAGTTGAATGCCAGCCTGCTATTTCAATCATTAGTCAATCCTGTGAACTGCTGTGAATACTCTTCATCCCTGGTGTTTCTCTACAGCATTCAGAGCAGTGATTTTCCAATTATACATACACTTAATCGGTCTGCTCTAAGAGACTAGAACCAAGTAAGAGAGATATTAGTCATGTGGGAGATCTGACTCACTTCTTTCTCCTTTCCATCTTCTAATCAAACTCTGATTAAACTTCATGTACCTTCTAATGAGCTTCCATCTGCCTCATACCCAATCTTTAATCTCTCCCAGGGAAAGCAAAGTGAGTGGTTGCTACTCATTAGTCTGCTGCTTGTTGTGAAAAAGTTCCCACCAGGGGTCTTGATTTATAAGCAAAATCAGGGAAAAGGTGTGTGCTGGGGTTAGTTGCAGATTTCTATAATTCAGTTGTAGACTTCCAGTGAGCCAGCCAGGGAATAGATCTTGATTTATGCCTTTAAATTTAAGAAGACAGATGCTCTTAAAGGATGGATAGAAAGAGGAAAAAGAGATGTACATAAAACATGCTCATTGCTCCATCCAATGGTGTCATGGTGCTGCAGGCTGAGCTGAGCCAAGCGCTATACCTCGAGGCTGAGTCAAAGTTGAATGGCATCTGCTGGCACGAGTGGATGGTACATTGGGCTGGTGTGGTGCAAACTGTCAGATTGTGTGGTTTTCTGATAGGCCAGAAGTTGCAGCTTGTGGTGAGTCAGTTGTCAGCAGGACAGTTCCCAGAGATGACATTTAAGCGGTGCCAACAAGAGGAACATAGAGACTCCACGCCTGAGCCAAGGCACTCGTTCACACTCTGAAATTTATTCAGCGAATTTTCACCTCCTTGTATTTACAAACAGATCGAGGCTTCCTGGAGCATATCCTCCATTTAAAGTTACTGAGCAAATATTTTCCAGGACTCATTTTTAAAGTTTCTAGTCAGCATTCAATGTTGAAAATTCAGACTATTTTGGTGGAGTGAAATGATTGCATGATGTGGGCTCAAATCATGACTGAATGCATCTTCAGATGCAAAGATTCCCATCCACGCCTTCAGTTGTCGCAGATATTCTGCCAGCAGTGCTGAAAAGGTGTTAAATGAGAAATACCAGTTGTGATTTAAGAAGGAGGTCCTGGGGCACAATGAGATGCAGATACAAATGGCTGGTCACAAAGATGGTTTTTACTGTTGTTGTTCAGTCCTTATTTCAAGTGGGAATCTAAAGGATGCAGAAATAGTGTAGAGCACTGTGATATTAACCAATGTACGAAAGACTAAAGTGGATGTGATGCACTTAAACTACTTCAGGGAGGGAGTGAGACAGAGAGAGAAAGGATGAAAGGATGTAAGGATGGAAGGCAGGAAAGTGAGAAGGAAGGCAGGAAGGAAGGAGGGCAGGCAGGAACGTTGCTTGCTGTAATAAAAACTCTTGTTGTAAATAAATTAATTAACTAATATTTATTGACAACATTCACAAAAAAAATACTAAGGGATATCATGCTGAAACCCAGAAGACTGTGTAAACCCAGTACTGATTATGGAAACTTTGGGTCAGCATTCTTTTTCTATCTCAATCTCTTCTCCTTTTTAGGTTTCTTATATCAAAACTCCAAAGCAAGTTGATGAATTCATTGAAATTCAGAGCTCAACAGGGACTTGGTACCAGCGGTGGCTGGTCAGAATCACAACCACCTTCAAACAGGTAAAGAGATGCAAACCCATCCCGTGGGGGCTCTTGGGTTTGGGGCTCAGTGCCTCATTGTTTAGGGTCATTGGGCCTTGGAAGCCCAACTCTCACTCAAAAAGCCTGCTCTGTTTGCAGGCTGATTGCAGTTTCCATACAAATGTGAGCATGTGCAAATGCCACACTACCCTGAGATGCCCTGCGAGCAGCACGGCGGTCAAGCTGTGTTAATGGCAGAGCTTCCAGCCCCAGCCCCAAGCACTTGACTCTCCTTTAGAGCAGATAGATATCGATTCCCTCTCCTCTAAGCCGAAGTGAATTTACCACCTGCAGTGGATTGAGAAGAGTGCTTGCTCCTTGCTCCTGCTGACACTGAGTTTGTAACAACCTCACATTATGTCTTCAGCTAATTTAACCCTTCACACTTGCTATGCTTACCTATACCCAGGCAAAACTTTGTGGACAAACTTGCTAGATTATTCCTGTTAGGAGGATGAGCCTCAAATAAAGGAGAGTCCATCTGAACTAATAGCAGTGCAGGTGCTATGTTGTTGTTATATTTATGTGGCAAGTAAAGAGCACGAGGAATTATTTACCTGCATGCTCCTGTCAGTATTTCCTGCTGTAGGTCAAGAGAAGACTGCTCTCTGTCTTGATCTTCTTGGTTTCATCCCTACCTGAGTTTATCCTACCCCTCCTAAAGCACCATCTGTGTTGAGATTTTTGCTTTTCAATGAGCTTCAGAGCTTGGTTTGAAAGCAACCCTGAGGCTACACCTATAGGTGAAAAGGCAAAATTTCAGAGGGTCTGGGAACCTCATCACACACACCAGCTCACTATACAGATTAAGGACCTTTACAAATAGTTGAATATGTGATATTTCTGTAAACCATTTATCTAGACAAACATAATTTTGAACATGCATCTGACCTTCCCCCAGTGAGCCCTTTTACTGAAAATATTAAATCTATGATGCACACAGAAATTAATCTTTTAAGTCTCTGCTAGGGTTTTCTTGCATATGATTCTTTCTTGTGGATTTGTAGGTCTGGGACAACGTGCTATATTGTTTAACAGCCCAGTACAGGATGAACACGCTGATGCTGGCTGTGGTTTGGTTTACTATGGCCTTAAGGTAAGGTACTTCTTTAACATTTTTGGGAAACTAGAGGCTTTTAAAGTCTGAATACTACAGCCTCACACTTGCAGAAATCTGTCTTTCAGGTAAAGCTTCCAAATTTCTTGCTGTTCTGCTGGTCTCTTGGGCAGCAAGGATAGCACACTGCTGTATTTTCCAGCAAAGGATTCACTGTCACTAAAATTTAAATGAGTTGCAATGCTTTAGGTGAACAAAAATGAACCAGTGTGCATCTGAGAGCAGCATGTTACAGAAGGAAGACTTTTTCTTGGTCCTGTCAGACCTAAGCAAGGATTTGCATCAGAAATTTATTTGCAATAGGAATTCAGCAGATTTACAAAATATGAAGTGGATTTTTGGAAAAGCACTGTGGTATTTTCAGTGACAGGGTCCCTAATATATTTCTCCCACTCTGCTGTAGTTACTATGGCCTTATTGTCTGGTTCCCTGACATGATCCGCTATCTCCAAGAAGAGGCCTATGAGTCCCGAGTGAAGGTCTTTGATGAGGAAGAAGTGTCACACTTCACCTTTAATTTCACCCTGGAGAACCAGATCCATAGAAACGGGGAATACAGAAATGATAAGTAAGTGAACAGAAATCGTTTTGATTGATGCTGATGGGGTAGAGGGCATGAGAGGAACTGGAATGAGATCCGCCGACATACACATGGCATTTGGAAAAGTAAACCTCATTTCTAGAAAGCTCAATTTTTCCATTTGCCACAAACTTATAAATCTCTGTTGATCTTCTGGATACACAGTCCGCCTCCTGCAAATCCCACAGGCAGTTTTCCACAGAACAATTATCCTTTGGTCTCCCACTTTCCACACACCTTGCCTCAGATACTCACATCTCCAACCCGAGGGGGTGCACCAGGGATGTGGGGATGCAGTGTGACTTCTCTTTCCTTAGCACACACTGACATCTACTGGTCTTGGGCAATAAAGCCGACTACCTGTAAAGAAACTGTTTTGCAGCATTTTGTAGGTAACAAATTGCGCTGAAGTCCTTGGAATGACTTCTCCCTGATCTCCACCCCACAGCCCATTAGTGTGTGTTGGCTGATGTGCTGATGTGCTCCTGCTGTGCTGAGCAGCATCTCCTCACGGCACGTGCCACCTTCTGTTTTAGTGCTCTGAAGTCAGAGAAGGTATTCTGGGAGAGTATTATCATTTTCCTCCCTTTTACCTTCCCTGAGTCCAGCCTGACCCTGATCACTCTAAACTCCACAGCAGTGTAAATCCTAGTGATGTATAGCAGGTCATTTTTATTTTCTAAATTCCAATGTAATGAGTGGGGAAATACCCCTATGTAGACTGTGGTGATCTCATTGCTGCAGAGAGGGTGCTACTCCAGCTGCTTTGCACTACGCAGGTGGTCACACTCTTACACAAAATATTTATTATTCTGCTCTTCATAACTGAAGCCACACTTCATTGACCATCCAGGTAGCTTCTTTCCCCTCAGGAGCTGTCTCAATTTGTCTCAATTTCCTTGGTGTACAGATTGGACTTTGGACTTTGGTGGAGGACCCCATCCTGACCCCCTACACCCTCCCTGTGACCTTTCTTGCAGTAAGGATCTGTGCTTGGTGGTGCAAATCTAACCCCGTAATTCCTATGCCCCTGCCTACAGAGAAGCCAAAGTCTGGTGAGATGAGGGTGGAGGCCAAATTTAGGATTTGAGGACTTTTGTCTTATCCTAGAGGAGATCCTCAGCTTTCCCTAATTTTGTTTGGAGTTGAGGATGCTCAGCACCTTCCAGGATGAACACATAAAACTGTGATGTGTATCACTGTACTGCTGCCTTTGTCTTCTCCAATTTAGTAACTCAAAACCTGATTAAACAGCATTCCAGCAATGTCCAGAGCATATCTTCTTATAATTTATAGCTCACTTTTCCCTCTAGCCCTGCTAAAACTCCATCAAACACCAGGCTGTTGCTGCATGACTCTTTTAAAGACAGATGTTAAGAAAGCAATCTGCAGGCAAAGGACTTTTAAGGGCCTTTGTGAGTACATACATCACAGGCTATTATTGAGCAAATGCAGAACAGCTTAAGTGTTGCTGTAACCTATGAGACCTTCTGCACAGTGCAAAAGACTTGAGTAGTCTTCTTGTTACATTCTGAGCATTAATAATATCTGTTAGTAGCCACGGTTAATAAGCCCTGCAGTGTTCTCTTAATGCTGTAAATAGCCATCATGCTGGACTGTCGTGTAAGTGCTCAATTCAATTAAGCTTCTGGGTATATGTTAGAAGCCTTTTTATTTGGTGACAGTTGTGGCCTCCTTAGCTAAAGCAATAATGCTTGCACTTACTAGCTCTTTACATCTTCCTAACATGCCTGTGCATTAACTGATACATCTTCCCAGTGTCCCTGCAAAAGCTCACAGGTAAATCAATATTGTGTCATCCTTCAGGCAGGCAGGTCAGATGTGCCAAGCTTCCCATCGGAGGAAAAATCAATCACCTGACACTGTTGATTATTTTTGGTGTAATCTGTTTTCTTTACATGATATGCAATGGTCCTTGAACAGAGATGGCTACAGGCTGTACACCTCCCCCAGGAAATCTTACTGCATTTTTCCTTAAAAAATCACTGTGAGTTTAAACAACTGTCAGAGACCTTTCACCAAATGGCCACATGGACTCCTGATAATGTCTGATTTTATTTCTGCCTGAGGAAGGGGCAGAATAAGGAATGCAACAAGGTCAGCTCACAAAGAAAATGCCACACACAGGGTGAAATTATGTCTTCTTCAGATAGACTAGTGCTGCAAGTTAGAGGATTTATGTGCTAGAAACACATCTTCTTGCTTATGACTACTTTGAGAGACAGAAAAACAACCAGAAATTCCAACAGGTCCATCTCTTAAAGACCTCAAAGGCCCGTTTCTTAATAAAATACAAAATATGGAAGAATTTTGTTGGAAGGACAGCTGTGCATTCAAGCAAGACCTTTTCTGTAAGTGACCCTAAAAACTGTCATTTGTACTGTTTATTAAACTAAGATGGCCTGTTATCCAGTGTAGGGAGTATCTCCAAGCACTGAATGAAGTTCTACATTCTGTCCCACAGATTTATTGGCATGAAATTCAAGGAAGTGAGATTTGAGGATTCGCTGTTTGAAGAGTGCCACTTTGAGGACGTGACATCCAGCGAAACCTTCTTTGAAAACTGCACCATCATCTCTACTGTCTTTTACAACACTGGTAATGGGATTCCTGACATGATCTAATCTCTGTGATTAGGGACTATTTCATCAGATCCTAGGAGAAAGGATGATAGGGATCTGTGTGCCTGTATGTGCACTGTGTAATGAGGGTGATGATGGAAAAAGAGGGTGAAGACAGGCTAAGAGACTAGCTGCTTTTATCTTTATGGTTGGCTCATTCCTAGGGACAAAAAAATAAGAAAGAAAAAAAAGAAGAAAAGAAAAAAAGAGGGTTTTCCCCTTATATTTTAACTAGATATATTTATTTTCTCACAAACTGAGTTAGCTTTCCCACATAGGCATAAGCCTGTCACTAAAATGTGTCACCACTAACAATGCCCCAGAGGCTGAGGATGCTACCATTGGTTCCTTTTTTTGCTTAACTCTGTATTTGCACTGAAGCATCTGGAAGAAGTGTGCCACTAAAAGATAAATTCCTCGGCCATTTCTCTTACAGATCTCTATGAACACAAATTCATCAACTGCAGGCTGATAAACACCACGTTCATGGAGGAGAAGGAAGGCTGCCATCTGGATTTTGAGGAGGACAATGATTTCTTGATCTACTTAGTCAGCTTCCTTGGCAGCCTGTCTGTGCTGCCGGGAAACATCATCTCTGCACTGCTTATGGACAAAATAGGGAGGATAAAGATGATTGGTGAGTGTGGATGTGGTGGGTGTCAGATGGGAGCATGGTTCTGCAAAGGGCAAGGGCCTTGTGCTGCTGCACATGGAGGCAAGCTGAGCTGGCTCAGGTGGAGATGAATCATGCCAACGTCAAATGGAGCAGAAGAGTAAAAAGACTGGAGGGTGAGGCACCAGACAGTGACTCGCAACAATTCAGTTCTATTTCTCTTCCTGCAAGTGATCTACTCTGTGGCAGTGGGCAAGTTACCTGCTCCTCACTTTCCCACCTAGCATTACTCTGGATTGGCAACATCTGCCCTTTCTCTTAGTTTGCCTTTAATGTCAAACCCTGTGTGTTCATCCAGTGCTCAGCACCACAGGGTCTGAGCTGAAGCAGGACCATCTGGTGCTGCTGAGTTGATGCTCATGTCCATAGCATTACGTATAAATAAATAAGACACTTTGCTTGTGGCAATGAATATTCACAAAAATTATTTGCTGTAGCTGTTTGACAGCCCAGGAGTTCCCTCTTTTGGGTTTCTGATTTTCAAATGATTTTACAGCAGCTTCAGGAAACATATGGTAGATTAACTGACCATGTCACAGCCAAGCAAACGTCACTCTTTGCCATATGGGACTAAGTAATCAGCTTTATGATTCCATTGGAAATTTCTGCTGTTGCTTGCTCCAAGGCTCAGATCTTGCTCTCCCAGGTACTGTGGAATAATACCAGAGGGACAGACAAGTGAGCTAAGTAAAATCAGGGATGTGACTTAGGGGGAAAGGATGAATCACTTTTTTGAGTTCACCTGTCTGTCTTCTGATTACAGTGGGAATTTCAGTTTGTTTAGTCTCACACTCAGATGGGTAAAGGTATGGAAGATGATCCCGTCAGTGTGTCAGGAATTTACACTGGGAGAGCAAAATGAGCCTTTGTGTAGTGAATTTGGAAAAGGCCCAAACAAGCCAGAGGGTTTGCAGTAAATAAATTAAACCAAATGAGAATCAAATTGCCCACCCCACAAACATGTCAGCATTTCAGTATTTTCATCTGGAATTGAGATGACAGCTGGAAACCTAAATGCTTATTTCTGCTGCAGAATGAAAAGTACAGGACAAAAATTGGGAACGACATGCTGAAACGTTTCACTATGGAATTTTCAATTGAAACAGCCTTCTGGCATCCCACCCGTAGCACTCTGTTGAACATATTATTTCTGGTCAGCTTAACATGAAAACTGAATTTCTCTTTTGCGTTATGTGCCTCACTGGGACTTCAGTTCAGTTTTATTGTGTTCCACTAAACTCTCTCCTGTGCCAAATGTCAGATCTGGTACACACACAGTGACCCTAATGAAGTCCTGTACTTCTTCAGCAGAGGAAATATCCACACTGTGCAGTGAGGGATGCATTTGGGGCAGGTACCAGAGAAGTGGGCATGGGGTCCTGCATGGAAGCTTTCCATAGGCAGGGCACTGCACTGGCAAAATGCAACAGAATATCCAAGATGAAACATTTTAGTTCCAGTTCAGCATCCAAATTATTTTGGTTGGTGTCAAATTAATTTTAACAACTCAAACAAAAAGTTATTTAGTTTCCTGGTAACAAATGGAGATATTTCAGCAGCAAAGGAACTATGAAGTGAAAGATATTTTTGATTTTGCAAAAATTGCTTCTTCCAGGTGAAAATTCCCAACTTGGGAAGAAAGCAGTGGTGCAGGTATTAATATTCCTGAATCTGAACTGTGGCTAACTGAGCATGAATGCTCTCACTTTCTCCCTCAGTGGTGTTCATAAAATTATGGCTCCTGTGCAAATGTGCCATGAAATCTAATGATGTTCTTATAATTAAAAGAGACCTCGAGTGCTTTTTACAATCGACTGTAAATTATCCTAATTGAGTCTAGAAATGTGTCAAGTGATTTCAATTTGATGTGAATGGCTCTAGCTCTTCACTCAAAACTCAAGCTGAAAAACCTTCACAATGATTCTTTCTCCTTGCTGACTTGTTTACTTCCCCCTGCTCTTCCTGGGTCCATCTGGAAGTCTGAGATGCTGGAAACCTGCCTGGAAAAGCCTGTCTTCAGAGCCTCTATAGAACAGGAATATCAGCAAGATCAGATGGTTATTGAGAACATTTTCAGGCAGGTTTCCAGCATCAGACAGGGACAGATAGGCAGCATCAAGGTACTAGTGGATTCGTACAGATTTCATTCACTTTGGGGTGAAGCGCTGTCACTTGAAAGCCATCTTTATCAACAGCATGGTTGTTTGGCTATGGAAGAGAGAAACCAGTGCCAACATCTTTCTCTTGGCTCCCCTGCAGGTGGCTCAATGCTGATCTCTGCAGTGTGCTGCTTCTTTCTATTTTTTGGCAACAGCGAATCGGCGATGATCGGCTGGCAGTGCCTCTTCTGCGGCGCCAGCATCGCCGCCTGGAACGCCCTGGATGTGATCACTGTAGAGCTCTACCCCACGGATAAAAGGTGCTCAGAGCTTTTCTCCTGTTCACTCTTTTGACACTGTGGCTTTGGCTGCTTGGTTTCTGATGGAAATATGAGGCAAGCTGTATTTCTCCTTTTTTATTTTAATGAGACCTTAAGGGCTCAGTCCTGTCGCTTGAGTGGATCAGCATAGACATTTGTAGGCATAACACTGCATGCATGGCGGCTTGTATGCAGGAGTTGTGTGGGTGTACACAGATAACAGGCAGATAAAATACAGCGAATCTGTCATTTCTACGTGTGTGCATGGAGGTCTGGCCTTCAGGCTGTATCCTCCCATCTCAGCTCATTGCCATGACAGTCTTCTCCTCCACAACAAGGAGACAATCATGTGCACAGAATAATCTGGGAGACAAGACAGAGTAGAAAACTTTGGGAGGATGTGCTGCAGATGATGCTTTCCTGCCAGAAATGTTATAAGAGACTCTTCTTGCCTTTTTCAAGCTGTTGGAAAGAGCCAGAAGTGAAGGAGGACTGTACTTTGAAGGCAGAATGATTTCAGCTGCTGGGTGAAGCAGGGTTTGGAGGAGAGCCCTGTTTGTTTCTCTGGTGACAGCCCAGAGGGACTGTGACAAATTCTAGAGAGGTTGTGTCCTGCTTTCCTTGAGGAGGGCAAAGGCTGCCATAGGGGGCAACTCAAGAGCTGGGAAGAAGTTGAGATAAGAGGAGAAATGAATCCCCACGTACATTTTCTTCAATCATACAGACATGCAAAACAGTTATATCTATTTACTATCTATTCTTTTTACTTGCCAGGAGAGTAGCCTAAGCAACATATGAGCGCTGCGGGCTGGAAGATCTTTGAGGTCCTTTCCAACCCAAGCAATCTATAGTTCACAAAATAATTTATCCAGACTTTCTGTAGTTATGCCAAGAACATCTCTAACCAATACTTTCTGCTTCTCTTCCCCACAGGGCAACAGCCTTTGGCATCCTCAATGGGCTTTGCAAGTTTGGTGCCATCCTGGGGAACTCAATCTTTGCCTCCTTTGTAGGGATAACCAAGGTGGTTCCCATCCTTCTGGCTTCCTCTGCTCTGGTTGGAGGCGGCCTGCTCGCTTTGCGCCTCCCAGAGACTCGAGACCAGGTCCTGATGTGAGCAGCTGAGGCCAGGGGGGTCAGGGGTGGACGTGGAAGAACTAAAAAAAGCCATGTTTGGAAAAATCAAAATGTCCTTTTCTATCTACTGTTTTGTTGATACCTCAAAGAGAGGAGGCAGAGAGGGAAAGAAAAGCCCACAGGGATAAAAATGAAGCCCTTTACTATCCGATCCTTTTACAGCCACGATTGGTGCATGCAGCTACTACACATGCCCTGCAGAGCTTTGCTGTTTGGGTTTAACTTTGCCTACACTGGGATCCTGTCCTTTCCCACTCCATCCCAGTGTAGTGACACAGGACAGGAACAGTGGCTTTCTGCATGCGTGTGCCTGCACGGGTGTGAGCGTGTCCGACAGGAGAGCAAACCTTGATCCTGCCTGCCTTTGCCGAGCTGTGAGACCCTGCCTGCCTCGCCAAGCACTCTCTGGCAACTCAAATCCACTGTGCTCAACTGTGAAAGGAAACTGAATGGGAGGCAGGTAACAAACCTGCTCTAGATCACATCCAGCAGCAGGGTCCAGAGCCATAGATGTGACTAATGACCTTATCTGTCTTGATTTTGGGGTCATCACCTTAAAGAGTGAGAGAGTTCTGAAGGATTTGAGGGTGGGTGCTCACCTCTCTCAGAAGAACCAAGATTTCAAAGCCCTTTACTATCTTCACTTGAGCATACAGATTGCTAGGCACTTTCTTGGTCTGAGAGAGAAGTATATATGTCATTTTATATATATATATATATATATATATATGTATTTTCACATACTTGCAAACGTACGTGCACACATTGAAGTGATCAGCTACTGAAATTTATGATTTTAAATTTCTGCACTATTAAAATATCTTAAGAGAGGCACTAAAAGCTAATCTTACTAATTCAAGGTTATCTGAAGTTACAACCAACTTGGTGATGCATTGTTCTTTATATCCAGACACCAAATATTTAAATGTATTGATGACTGGGACTATATATTTCTATGATGATAAAGATTCTTTTTTCCTACAGACTTTCATGGAGGAGAAATTGATATGATGTTGGAGCATTCCACAAACCAAATGTGTACATATTATCCAGTGTAAATAGGAGACTTTTTCTCTAATGTCTAGAACATGGTAATTGAGAATTTACCAGCATTTTAGCCATAATAGTTAAAGAATATGATGCTTCATTTTCTTATATATTTGGGTCTCACTGAAATACTGTAAGCACAGTTACTTATAGCCATTTAACTTATTACACGGGCAATGCACACAGCAAGCTTGCACTGTACATAAAATGATATTCTCCATCAGGTGGGACAGTTCTACTTGATATCCCATAAAGACCATTTCTGAATTTCATATGCCCCTTTTATTGTTGCACCTGGAAGAAAAGTGAGCTGTGTATTTTTGGATATATTTTTGGTGGGAGCAAGACTTAAACACACACTGTTAAATAACACATTAATGCTCATAAATACCTAGATAGTGCTAATTATATTCTTTCAACAAGCTCAGTGATAGCCCAGAATTGATCAGAAATGGTCACATAATGCAGGGTATTTATCTCACCAGGATGTTCTCTGACACAAAAGCTTCTTTTGTACTTTCTCTCGTGACCTTCCTTTTACCTTTCTTTGGATCCCTCTTTTTTTCTCCTTTTATTTTTAAGAAAAATAAGCAGTGCTATGCTGAAATCCAGCAAGACTACAGTCTAACACCTCTGCCTTCAGCTGCACAGAGGTGGTCACACACACCATGTCTACCCCCACACAGCTGTGACACTGAGTATGGGCCAGCAGCACAGGACAGGTGAAGGACAGAAAATGGGGTGAGATCACAAGAAGCAAATCCTTGCTAATGAGACAAAACCATCTAAAGAGCATCACTTTCATCTTTGTGTCAATTGGGGATAAGCACTTAAAGAGCAGCTAGGTTCCAATGGGCTATTTGGGATTTTTATAGATTTATGCTGAGGTTTACAAAATTGATAAAATCACAAACCGCTGTAATAGCTGGGCTTATTATGCCTCATTTCTTCATTTCATGGGTAGCTTAGGGCCTTTTTGATTGTCTTCAAAACAGCAAGGTTCCTTCTGTAAGGTAGGAGGGAATGTAATTATGTCCTTTGGCAGCAGATCACAGATTCAGTTGAGAACCACAACCCAGAACATGTGTTTTTCCTCTAAGAACGCCTGGTACTTTTGCATGGTGAGAAGCAGTCAAATATGTATTTCAACACAAAAAATCACCACGGTCTTTATGTTCCATCCTTTCTGTTTGGCTCTGCATGCTGATGACCGCATTGAGTTCAGGGACGGGGTGGGGGGAAGTTTATTTAATGGTCAGGGTTATTTTGTTGTGCTGTTCTGTGGAGCCAGAACTTCTCTGTATTTATTTTATGAAGCACTCTTAGATATATACATATCCAGGGCTCTGACAGCAAACCTGACTATTTGTTCCTCCTCTGACATTGCTCGGAGGCTCCAATGGCATGGCTTATTTTGCAAAGTTTCCTTGTTGGTTTCCTGAGAAGGAAGAAATTGAGTTCTTAAGGAGGTAGAAATTGTAATAGGCAAGGTCATCCAATCTTAGAAACCTATCTTCTTTACAGAATGGCTCTTACACATGGTCTACCTGGTAAACCTCATATTCCAGAGATTATCTGGGACAAGGTAAAGAGTAATAAGTTGTTGCAGCCAGTGTCACCCTGTCTACCCATGTGACTGTGCCCCTAAAACACATGGCCAGTCACTTCAGAGCTAGGGGATGTTACTTATGGGTCTTGATGCTCCCATCCCTGACACTTGACCAGAGAGTTCATGACCAGAAATGAAAGGCAAATATACACAGCAGCTAGTACAGCAGGGCCTGGAAAAGGACAACAGTGAGCAAAGAAGGAAGGAAGGGGGAAACTCTGTAAGCTAGCCTTAGACACCTACAACTTAGCTGTCTAAAAGTGAATTAATCACACACGGTTCCCATCACTCTCAGTTGTGAGAAATAGAGAACACGTGTGATGTCTCTAAGACACCATGTCTAGGAGGTGAAGTTGCCCTGTTCTGACACCTCCCAGCCAACTTCAGCATAGACAAGACACAATGAACATTCTCAACATTTCCTTATTGGCATTGTCACGATCCAAATGAGAGTAGGCTTCACACTGTTGCTCTCAGGAGCAAAGTAAAGTGGTTGTTAGGTGCAGCCCCCTCAGCATTGTCTGTGTTTTGATGTGGATCTGAATTTCAAGATGTGTGCTGTGTGCTGAGCCCAAGCCACGAGGCACCAAGCACCATGCATGGAAAGTTTCCATCAGTCACCTCTTCTGATGGCTCAGCTTCTTTTCTACTGTAAAATCAGCATTATACTGCAGCGCAAGGGCCAGCATGCCCTCCAGTGGTTCTCTTTGCCTCCATTTGCCACAGCGAACAGTCTCCTTGTCTTAGAGTTCTGAGACTCTGGACTATCCACAGAGAAGAGGAAAATTCCAGCTGATCACAACCCGAGTGCTGAGGTCTATTTCCTTGGATTCATGAACTTTTCAGCAACAAGGGCACTGAGGACTGAGACAGGGGACTTGCCTTAAATCCCAAAGACCTCTTCTTGAGGACAGCTGGACTTCTTCATGTGTATGGGGCACACCAGTCCAGCCACTCAGCCAGGGACTGTGGCATGGAAAAGATGCAAGGATATAACCTGGTCTACTGTGTCTTCATGTGCAGACAGAGTATTGGGATCCACAGGAGCAGTTCATTACTGCATGCAGAAACAGACATTTAGAGGAACACAAAGCACTGTTAAGACTGTTGTAGAAGACCAATGGGATTACAGTAAGATTTCTCCTCTTTGTATTCCTTGTAGATTAAACTGATTGTTGTACTCCTATTTCTTTACTTTGGTTGTGCAGCACTGCTTCTGCTCTCACCTTTCATGGTGCCACACCTTGCCAGCAGTGGCTGTGCTTGGGACTGGATGGGCAACCCCCTGCTTGCCCATACGATCCTCAATCCCCTTAAAATGCTGTATGACTCGAAAACAGCTGTGTATGGATCTTTTGGACAAAGAAAAGAGTCTCTCTTGGAAAAATGCAAGACCCAGCCAGTTGTTTTGCACTCTGGTCAGGCAGCTGATGTCATTAGGTGACACTGGAGATGTGCAATAAGTGATATCCCCTGAACCTGGGAGCAGTCCAGCTCCTGGGTCAGGTTCACGCATGGGCACGGAGCTAAGCTGCATGGAGCTGAGCTTTCTACAGACCTGAAAGTCTCTTCTGGGTCCTGCTTTGAGACTTCCAGCAACAGAGTACACTCAGATATTGGTATGGAAGTCTTAGGTCCATTTGTGTCTCCTGCTTATGTCCTTTGACTCTCCAAAGGACACAGAAATCTCAAGAATATGTTTTTAGGTCTATGTAGATCTGAGCCCAATACATCATATTTCCATGAAGTTTCTTCCTTTGGTTTCTTACCCTTATGTTAGCAAATGCTGCTTTTAGGAAGAATCGAGCCTGAGAACTGCGAAGGAAGAAAAATGGATGAAATTTCTTTGCTGTATGTAACGCTAGTGCTTGCATTCACACACTGCAAGTTCCACTGCAAATAACACCTCGTGTTGTGTGTGTTATGAAATACTTCATTTAGGTGTTCTGTCTGCTGTGTGTGTGAAATAGCCAGCTCCAATTCCTCTTCTCCTTTTCTTCATTTACTCTCCCTCTTTTTTCTTTTCTTTTCTTTTTTTCTTTTTTCTTTTTAATTTGATCTGTGTCTGGTTGTCACTGGAAATTGCAGCTGTTCCAATGGACTTTGTTTTTGTTCCTCTTGTCACATTAAAAGGCTGGAAGAAAAAGAATGACTCCTGTAGTGTTTGTGCTTAATGTACGCCTTGAGTCTTTTCACAAGTGCTGTTGTGGCTGACCTTGTTCTCTAAAATTGTTGGGACTGCCTCTGATGTATGCAATGTGTATGTAGTCTCACTGCAATTAAGACTTCCGTCTACTACTGCTTTATCACACTGCATATCTCTTAACCCATTT